TTTCAAAGTGATCGTTCAGTCGGTGTAGCTATAGCGAGCCTTTGAACTTTTTCTGAGGTAAGGTCACTTGACGTGACCTGGTGACCTGACCTTGAACGGCCTAGGTCTGAAATTTTCAGAACATGTGCGGAAATGATGTAGGAACACGTGTACCAAAAACGGCGGCGCTGCGCGCCGCCGTTTTTGAGATATTCGCGAAAAACCTGAGGGGGGGGCGTAAAAACGCCCCCCCCCAGCACGGCGCGGGTTAAAGATGAAGCCAAAAAACCGTTTATGGTGATAAAATAGGTGACCGCTTATGACCTGAGATGACCTCAAGGGCACATAAAAGGACACATGTGCATTTTTACGATTCAGTGTGCTATGTTTACCTATGAACCGATGTTTAAGGGGTTTTAAACGACATTCGTCCAAAAGAGGCGCATTTCCTTTTCTCCCACTGACTTGAGGTCCCAAAATTGACCTGACCTTAGGTCACAGACATAAAAAGTCCGAGATGAACATTTTATGCATATTGTTAGTCTTATCAATCTCTAAAAGTTTCAAAAGTGATCGTTCTGTCGGTGTAGCTATAGCGGGTCTTTTAACTTTTTTTAGGTAAGGTCACTTGACGTGCCCTAGTGACCTGACCTTGAACGACCCTCATCTGAAATTTAACAAGCTGTGTAGAAAAGATGTATGAACAGGTGTACCAAAGACAGCGGAGGCGCTGCGCGACGCCGTTTTTGAGATGTTCGCGAGGAAAAAAACCTAAGGGGGTGTACCCCCCCCCCTCCAGCACGGCGCGGATCAATGGGAGACAGTTGAAATGCTCTTCTTCTGAACGAAAACAACCTCAACCATCGGGATGCAGGTAAATATGACACATTTAATCAGTAAATGTCAGTCGTGATGTGACCACTTTTATGTTACTCAGGTCATCTCAGGTCATGAAAGGTCTCCAGTAGATTTTGGACAATAACTTTTGATAGAGATATGGTAGAGCAATGAAACACCCTATATAATTATTTTCCTTCTCGAAAGTATGGATCGACTAATATGCAATATGACCTTTACCGGTTAGGTTATGACCTTTACCTTAGGTCAAATTCTCAAATGCCCTTTTAATGTCAAATTCTAGTTCATTTGACTTGTCTGTCTCGAAAAATGGAACACGATGCTGGTTGAACTAATCTCATGCAGGTCTGAGCAAAATGTAAACGTCCTCCGCGAAAACGTATATTTTGAGGCTAAAACGTTTACCTTAGGTCAAATCTGAGATAATCAATAAGAGAGAGCATAAAAAAGAGCTATCGAATATGCGCTTTGCTGCGGCGCTGTAGTTCAATCTCTTTCTGAATCCTGACTTATGCGCCGCTTTGTCAAAAAATGTCAACATCGGCGAAATTTGATTTTCGGTTGTCGCTGGTGACCTGACCTTCGACCAGTTCGACCTAGCCTTAAAATGATCTAAGTAGTTTTGTAATAGTTTTTGACGCTCTTTCGAACGCCGCCTACTGCGTGTCTCGACGTGGCCCACAAGCTGAGTTAGAAGTGGGTGTTCGAACACCCCCAGCAGGTTCAATAAAAAAACGCTTACGCTGGGGGCGGCACCCCACTGCTAGGCGCTGTCGGCATCGCAATAATGGGCGGCACAGCGCTGAGGGGCGCAACTTGCATTGAGGGGTGGCATTGTACGGTGAAGGGGCAGCGTCGCGTTGAGGGGCGGTATCGCAACGAGGGTGGCACTTACAAGGCTGCCTAATAAGGAACGCTTCGCTTGGCACATCCAAGCCCAGCTCGGCGCCGCCTAGCTGCTGCATCTTGAAAAGGGCCCTTGGTGTCGATGAGAAAGCCCCATTGTCAAAAAATTGCCTAGCGTCAGTGGTTTCGGGGGGGGGGGCGACCGAAGTATCCAATTCAGTTTCGCGTCGTGACTACTGGAGGGCGTCAACGACCTCGGATAGGGCGAATGTGATCTTCAGAAGGGCACCGGGTGCTCTAGAGGGGTGCAATGCTTGGATGGGGTCACTGCTGCCTTCAGTAGGGCATCGGACGCTCTGGAGGGGCGCCATTGATCTCGGATGGTCCGACTGGGATTTTCAGAGGAGCATCAGTGGTTTCAGAGGGGCGCCATTGATCAAGGATGGGCCGACTGAAGCCCCGGTTCAGGTGAGCGCCAGTGGCTCTTGAGGGGCGCCAGCGACCTCGGATTGATGGGGCGACTGTGATCTTTAGAACGGCGTTGAGGGGCGCCATTGGGCATGGATTGGGCCACTGTTGCCTTCAGCAGGGCGCCGCAGGGAGGCTCTGGAGGGGCTTGAGCTTGGGTGGGCCGACTGTAGTCTCCAGGGGCGTTGTCTCGGATGGGGCGAATGTGATTTTCAGAGGGGTGCCGGGTAGTCTAGAAGGGCGCCATTGGTTTCAGAGGGCTGCCATCGATCTTAAGATGGGGCAGCTGTAACCTTCGTTTAGATGGGCGTGATCTTCAGAAGCGCGCCGGACGCTCTGGAGGGGCGTCATTGGGCTTGAATGGGGCGACTTTAGTCTCAAGCGGGACGACTTCAGTCTCAAGGGGGTGGGGCGCTAGTGGCTCTTGAGGGCGCTACTGATCTCGGATAGGGCGACTGTGATCTTGAGAAGAATGCGGGTGCTTTAGAGGGGCGCCAGTGGTTTCAGGGATCGATCTTGGATGGGTCGATTGGGGCAGCTGTGAACTTCAGAGGGGCGCCGGGTGCTCTAGAGGGGCGCCATCAAGCTTTAATGGGGCGACTGTTCCGTTTAGGTGGGTGCCAGCGGCTCTTCAGGGGCGCTATCGACCCTGGAGGTTCGGAATATTCTGGTTTCCGGAGGGGCGCCCTTCAACATTTGGGGGCTCAGGTCGTATTTGGGGGTGCCCTGGAGATTATTTAGGTGTCCAGGCACCCCCAAAGAGATATTGAGTTCGATCCCTGCCTGCACATCACTTTTTAATTCATGTTCTCTCTGTAAAACGGCATCAGCCTAGTCGGCGCTAATTGGGGCGCCATTTGGGCGGCTGGGCGGAAAGGGGGGGCCATGGCCCCCATGGCCCCCCCCTGTCTACGCCACTGGGCCCCACGTTAACCTAAGAGGGCCTACATTGTCCTTAGATAGCCCCAAGCTGAGCTGTTCCCAGTGGGCCCCAATCTGGCCTCAGAAGACCCCACGCCGCTCGTCTTAGAGGAACCCACGCTGCCCTTATATTACCCCACGCTGGTCTAAAAGGGCTACGCACTGACTTCTTTGGGCCCCACGAAGGTCCCAAAGCGGACTCTAAATGACCATGCTAGCCTCCGACGGCTCGACTTCGGCTTCTGAGGGCCCTACGCTGGCCTCCAAACCTTTGGTAGAAGTTTGTTTAGACATGTTTAGGTATGCATAACTGATTAGGCAGGATTTTGGTATACCTTTACCTACGGTATATGGTATGTATGTTAGGTGTGGTGTAAAGGTCCGCTTATACGGTGTATATTAGGTGGTATAATATGACATTGTGGAGTCGGGTTTGTCCCCATCTCCCCAGTCGAAATTCCTTAGCCGAGGTACTGCTGTGTGACTGTGTCAGTCCTGCTGTGTGACTGTCTGTATCCTATACATCCTATCCATCCTAAACACCCTATACAGCTGGTGTTTCTAAGTGCATTAGGAGGTAATCGCCAGGGGTCGTACCAGCCCCTCTACCCTCACCGTCCGCGTTATGAAAAATGCCCGTCCAAGGGTAAACATACGTAGTAATAACGTTTCTTTATTATCTCTTTTTTTTTTTGCAAAACACTAGAAACGATCGTAAATTTCTGCATTGTTACCTAAGACCTGTCTGCCTGCCTGCCAAGCTTGTTTGCCTGATATGCAACAATGCGGGTTGCATGACAAAACATGTCGTAATACGATACGACATGTCGTTTTGTGACGTGATTAGACACAAAGCTGCAAGACATGACGTAATGCGTGCCACGTAACACTACGCACCATGTCACCTTTATATGATGAGTAGAAACGAAAAAAAAAACTGTAATTCTGCATTCCAGATGGAGATGACAGATGTGCGTGAAGACCTGGCCGCCCTTCGCCGGGAGATGGCCTCACTGAGCAAAGTGGTGGCCGGTGCGGTGGTCCGCCTGGAGCAGGCAGTTATCGAAGAGCGGACCACTCGCCAGACCGTGGTGGAGGATCTGCGGCAGGAGGTCCGCCGGCGAGCGGCGCCATCCGGCCGTCCCCAGGGGTGAGACTGGGAGGCAGCAGGGGTGGCTGTGGGGGCTGAGAGATTTCGGAGAGCTGTCATGGTGAGAAGTAAACTTTCATTGTAGAAGGTGTAAGAAATAAAACATCACCAGGTCTTTGAAGGTCGAGTAACTTGTTCTTGTAATTTCCGCGCAATTAAAGAAACATGTCTTGAATTCGTACTATCTTTTGCAAGTCAGCGGTTTAGTCTCGATCGTATTGTTCCAGTTTTCGACAGACGTCCTGCAATCTGTATACAGTTGGTTAGTTTGGGGCATTATATCCCGCACGTATTTACATGTCTTCATCAGCAATCGTGTCACAAAATCTAATCGGTCGTATCAAATCGTTCAGAGTCGTATCAAATCAACTTTGAACGATTTTATGCAACCGAGTAGATTTGACGATACCATGACTGACGACGATGATATGGAAATGTATATCGAAATATCAAATGAGCCGACAATAAATGCGGAATTGTTATGCCTGATCAGTAGATTTATCGACTTCTGTTCTTTTTTTCAGTAGAGCTAGAAAAATGGCCGATGACGTCATAGTACAGACGGAGCCCCAATCATCGACAGTCAATGACGTCACAGTACAGACGGAGCCCCAGCCATCGGCAGTCAGTGACGTCATAGTACAGACGGAGCCCCAATCATCGACAGTCAATGACGTCACAGTACAGACGGAGCCCCAGCCATCGATCGCCAGTGTATTTAAAACGCTTAGAGAGGCGCTCGGCCTTGTAACCATGACGAAGCTCGACGCTCCGTCAGCCCTTGGCGAGGATCAGCTGACGGCGCTCCTGCAGAGTCTTCCCCGCTTGGAGGAGCTGACCGTCAGGGTCCCGTCCTTCGGAACGGGGCGGTGGCTGCAGCTGCTGCCGACGTCACTGAGGACGCTATACGTTACCGGTGAGAATATGTTGAGGAAACGCGTACTATTACTTCTGAATGGTGATTGGTGAATGGTGAAACATAGCACATAACGTATCAGCTTCAATGATAACTATTCAGCCGACATATATGTGCCATGCTACCTACATGCTACACAAACATTAGCCACTGTACTCGAGGGCAGCGCTTTTCGAGCAGCGCTGCGGCCCGAAGGTTGGGACTTTGAATTGCGAAAAACGTCCGCCCGCCGCAAAACGCCAACACCGCAAAACGTGCAAAACGCACGCCGGAAACGCCAACGCAAATATCGCAAGAAAAAACAAATAAATGCCCGCCAGCCGCGAACCGCAAAAAAACGCAAAACCACCCGCATCGCACGCACGCTAACCGCCAACTGAAAACGCTTATAAAGCGCCCAACCGCCACCAACCGCCAACAAATTGAACACCGCAAACGACGCAAAAAAACGCCCGCATCGCCCGCACGCCCGCCGCCAAACACAAACACTGCAAAAAGCACAAAATGCCCGCCCGCCGCAGAACGCAAACACCGCAAAACGTGCAAAACGCACGCCCGAAACGCCAACGCATACGTCGAAAAAATCGCCCACGCAAACCGCAAAAAAACGCAAAAAAACGCCGCAAAAAATAAACCGCCCGCATCGCACGCACGCTAACCACCAACCGAAAACGCCTAAAAATCGCCCGCCAGCCCCCAAACGCAAACACAGCAAAAAAACGCCCGGCCGCCGCAAACAGAAAACAAACCTCACATAGAAAAGGACGCAAAAACGCCCGCATCAACCGCCCGGCCGCCGCTAAGCACAAACACAGCAAAAACGCCCGTCCGTCGCAAAACGCAAACAACGCGCGCAAAACGCACGCCCGAAACGCCAACGCAATTAAGACCAAAGTGACGCGAAGCGTTACATGTATGTATATGCGTACCTGACAGTAATTTATTAATACATGAAACTAATAAAAGATTCCTTAATTTTAGCCCATTTAGGCACTTACCCGCGCACCGACGGGGGTCTGCGCCAACTTCGTACCAACACAGGGGGGGGGGCGGATGACCGCCTGTCTACATTTTTAAAAATGGTCTACAATTTTTACTGAGGTCATTTTCAGGTCATGTCAAAGATGACGTCACAGGGGTCAAAAAGTCAAAATGGCGGCGCTAGATATGGAGAGAGTTTTTCTCGAATAACTTTCGGATTAGTCAAGATAGGAACAATCGAAGGGCACCATCGTGATCCTCTCGTCAATCCGCATCGAATGATATATACGTTGATCTCGAAAGGTCAAGGTCAAAGGTTGACCTCAGGTCACGTGACCTCGAGGTCATCATGTATATCATTTGATGCGTCTTGACCAGCTGAACACAATGAGACCATCTGCGCGGCTGTATCTTGTTCCTGTACGGAGTTATTGGCAAAAAACCTTTGGTGACCTTTGATGACGTCACATGACCTTACAGCTGCCCAATAGCAAAACAGACCTCAAGGTAGTGTCGGTTGATCGTATATGAAGTCATGTATGGTATATGGGGCCATTCCGACCCGTTTTAGTGGTAAAAACAGGGAGTTGATTTTCCCCCATTGACTTATAATGGGGAGGTCGAGAAATTGACCTGACTGACCTTAGGTCACCGATATCAAAATTCCGAGATAAAAAAATTGTAGCTACTACTTTACCTATTAACCCGCGCCCCGTTGGGCTCTGCCGAGCAACGCGCCCGGTTGGGGGGGGGCCATTTTGGCCCCCCCCTAAGATCTCGAGAACCACGCAACATAGCGACAAGCGGTAAACGGCGTTGGATAGCCCCAACGGGGAACTACCTTGTGACCCAATTTTATTGACCTAGGTCAAACCGATGACGTCACAGGTCAGGTCAAAGGTCCAATTTTCACCGTTTACAGGCACTTCAAGAAATGCGTTGTAAAATCGAGTAAAATGCATTTCATTGAAAATCATCGATGGGGAAATGTTCTTCAAACACATATTTTGCTATCTGAGGTCACTGATACCAGGTCAGGTCACATAGGTCAGGTCACGGGGGGGGGGGGTCACAATATGAAAGTGTCGTGTGATACATGTTTTATGGTCCATTTTACATGACAAATGCGATTATATGGGTCAGGCAGCCTTTGGGGCCAGCTTAGATCACGTTTTGGTCAAGGTCAGGTCGAGGTCAGGTCAAGGTCAGGTCAAATTAGGTCAAATTTCAAAGTTAATATTTTTGCATAAAATGGGTATCGAATCGATGCAGCTCGTCACGGGGAGTTCAATGGTGGTCTTTGTTTTGCCGTACGTGGTCTAGAATTGCTAAAAATTGAGTTCAAAAATTTGACGTCATCATTTTTGAACAGTTTTTTCGCTATAACTTGGCCAAAAAACGAGATATCGATCTGAAATTTGGTATGTATATAGAAGAGCGCTGGGACTATCACATATATTCCGGTTTTTTTCGAAATTCGGAAAATTTTTGGATTTTTTCAAAGTTTTTCTAAAAAAATCAATTTTTTGATTTTTTTTTGGTCAAAAACCAAAAATTTTGAAAATCCGAGATAGCAGTTTTGTAGCGCCGTTTTTTGTCTACTAGACCATATAAAGAACTTTGAAATTGCTTGATAACTGTAGATTTGGTGAGCGTTTCAAGATTGCATGTTTTTTGCTCATTTTTGCTCGAACATGACCTCAGTTTGACCTCAATAACTCCTGACCTAAGGTGACCTAAGACTTGAAATTTGGTGTGAAGGTGTCAAATTGATGCCCGGGAAGGTACTGAAAATTTGGCGGCGCTGCGCGCCGCCGTTTTCTTGCTATTCAGGAAAAACCACAGGGGGGGCCAAAATGGCCCCCCCCCCAACGGGGCGAGGGTTAACATCCTGCGACCTTCAAAGGCCTCCGACATCTACTGTAGCTCTGGCACGGTGACAAAGTTGCAAAAAAGCGACTTGAGGTTGGGTCATTCAATGTGACCTGGTGACCTGACCTTAACCCGCGCCCCGTTGGGATCTGCCAAGCAACGCGCCCCGTTGGGGGGGGGGGCATTTTGGCCCCCCTAAGATCTCGAGAACCACGCAACCTAGCGACAAACGGCAAACGGTGTTGGATAGCCCTATCAGGGAACTACCTTGTGACCCAATTTTATTGACCCAGGTCAAACCGATGACGTCACAGGTCAGGTCAAAGGTCGAATTTTCACCGTTTACAGGCATTTCAAGAAATGCGTTGTAAAATCGAGTAAAATGCATTTTATTGAAAATCATCGATGGGGAAATATTCTTCAAACACATATTTTGCTATTTGAGGTCACTGATACCAGGTCAGGTCTAAGAGGTCAGGTCACTGGGGGTCACAATATGAAAGTGTCGTGTGATACATGTTTTATGTCCCATTTTACATGGCAAATGCGATTATGTGGGTCAGGCAGCCTTTGGGGCCAGCTTAGATCACGTTTTGGTCAAGGTCAGGTCGAGGTCAGGTCAAGGTCAGGTCAAATTAGGTCAAATTTCAAAGTTAATATTTTTGCATAAAATGGGTATCGAATCGATGCAGCTCGTCACGGGGAGTTCAATGGTGGTCTTTGTTTTGCCGTACGTGGTCTAGAATTGCTAAAAATTGAGTTCAAAAATTTGACGTCATCATTTTTGAACAGTTTTTTCGCTATAACTTGGCCAAAAAACGAGATATCGATCTGAAATTTGGTATGTATATAGAAGAGCGCTGGGACTATCACATATATTCCGGTTTTTTTCGAAATTCGGAAAATTTTTGGATTTTTTCAAAGTTTTTCTAAAAAAATCAATTTTTTGAATTTTTTTTGGTCAAAAACCAAAAATTTTGAAAATCCGAGATAGCAGTTTTGTAGCGCCGTTTTTTGTCTACTAGACCATATAAAGAACTTTGAAATTGCTTGATAACTGTAGATTTGGTGAGCGTTTCAAGATTGCATGTTTTTTGCTCATTTTTGCTCGAACATGACCTCAGTTTGACCTCAATAACTCCTGACCTAAGGTGACCTAAGACTTGAAATTTGGTGTGAAGGTGTCAAATTGATGCCCGGGAAGGTACTGAAAATTTGGCGGCGCTGCGCGCCGCCGTTTTCTTGCTATTCAGGAAAAACCACAGGGGGGGCCAAAATGGCCCCCCCCCCCAACGGGGCGAGGGTTAACATCTTGCGACCTTCAAAGGCCTCCGACATCTACTGTAGCTCTGGCACGGTGACAAAGTTGCAAAAAAGCGACTTGAGGTTGGGTCATTCAATGTGACCTGGTGACCTGACCTTAACCCGCGCCCCGTTGGGATCTGCCAAGCAACGCGCCCCGTTGGGGGGGGGGGGGCATTTTGGCCCCCCTAAGATCTCGAGAACCACGCAACCTAGCGACAAACGGCAAACGGTGTTGGATAGCCCTATCAGGGAACTACCTTGTGACCCAATTTTATTGACCCAGGTCAAACCGATGACGTCACAGGTCAGGTCAAAGGTCGAATTTTCACCGTTTACAGGCATTTCAAGAAATGCGTTGTAAAATCGAGTAAAATGCATTTTATTGAAAATCATCGATGGGGAAATATTCTTCAAACACATATTTTGCTATTTGAGGTCACTGATACCAGGTTAGGTCTAAGAGGTCAGGTCACTGGGGGTCACAATATGAAAGTGTCGTGTGATACATGTTTTATGTCCCATTTTACATGGCAAATGCGATTATGTGGGTCAGGCAGCCTTTGGGGCCAGCTTAGGTCAAGTTTTGGTCAAGATCAGGTCAAGGTCAGGTCAAGGTCAGGTCAAGGTCAGTTCAAATTAGGTCAAATTTCAATGTTAATATTTTTGCAAAAAATGGGTATCGAATCGATGCAGCTCGTCACGGGGAGTTCAATGGTGGTCTTTGTTTTGCCGTACGTCGTCTAGAATCGCTAAAAATTGAGTTCGAAAATTTGACGTCATCATTTTTGAACAGTTTTTTCGCTATAACTTGGCCAAAAAACGAGATATCGATCTGAAATTTG